AAACACCTCATTCGGAAACACTTTTAGATTGGTCCTCAATACCAGACAACCAATTACATTATATTATAGTTGTAACAAAACCACATATGTCTTCACGGCTCAAATATTCGTATATGAAGTAAGTTATGATTAATAAAGTTGTTATTAACCATGAAGGTTATTATGAGTATGTTTATACGATAAAACCTTGAATTTTGAATAAAAAAATAATGAAAACTCGATATGTACTCAAATGTTGAATAAGAAATATTTAATTGTTGAAATATAAAGAAGTTTGTTATTGAAAAGCTGTAGAAAACTTTAACCTCTCTTAAGTAATAAAAGCAACATGAAACGAATGGTAAAACAAAGAAAAACTGTTTTTTTACTCTTTGAGACTTAATTGAGTAATATTTAATTAAATTACGCCATTTACATAAACATCACAAATGTACTCGTAGAAGGTACACTCAGCGTCACCTATTTCACTATACTTATACTCCATTCATTAGAAAAAAGAGGAGCTCAGAAGCAGCAGTGCAGAACATTTTATTAACAAGATAATTAAAAAAATATATTTATAATAATTTTGTTAAAATTTTGAACTTTAGGTAGTCTGAAAGAGTTGGGCAATTTTACATTTTCTAAATTCATCTTTTACTGAAAGCCAACATGGAAATAAAACTATCTATCTGTTGTTTGGTTGTTGACATTTTGTCACAAAGTATACCATAAAAATAACCTTTTTTTCATTCTGTCTAATGCTATAATGAATGGAGTATAGGAGTCGCCCAAATCTGATACCTAAATATTTGGCTTTGTCTAAGGTGAAAATCCGTTTTTCCTAAATTTGTTTTTGAATTTTCGAACTTTTTAATTATGGACAGTGACGACTTGAGTGCTCGTGTGAATACAAAACCACGTATAAGTTTATTTGTTTTAATAATTGCTTAAAAATACACATTTTTATCAATACTGCATTCACAATGCTATACTGAAAAATATTCTTAATGAAAAATGCTTAATCCGGGCGACTGCTCTAAGCGAAATCGTAGAAAATTGTTAGTCCTGTTAGGTCTTGGTTAGCTCAGTGGTTAGGGCAATCGCCCGAATTGCGAAAGGTTCTAGTCCCATCTCAGAGTGCCAATATATAAATTTAATGAAAAATGCTTAAAAAATCCGCTTGTCCCTGGCACTCTGAGATGGGACTCGAACTTATGACCTTTCGCAATCCGGGCGATTGCCCTAACCACTAACCTAACTATACATATATATATACATATAATATATTGCTTTTGTCCCTCTACGTGTAAAGGCCACTAATGTGACATTGGCGGAATTGTGTAAACGTAATAGTCCATACATTCTTCTTTGTCTGTGGCATTACCTAACGTTACAGGTTTGACGAAACGACAAATCTGCCTAAGGTGATTTCTAGTTAAGCTATGTCTTGTTCTAGGTTAATGAAAAGGGGTATAAGTTTTCAAGTTTTTGGTTACAACGGTAAGTATCGCCAGAAGGTGTGATATTTTTTTAATAGTGGCTGCTCGTAACAAACGAAAATTATTAAATGTATTTGTATTCTTTTACTTCAAATATTATTTGACTTTTTCCTCTCAAAACATACAAAAGAACATAAAGTGTATTATGCGGTGCCGTTAAAAAGAACTTGTGGATTCCCATCAACACAAAACAAAACGGCTAGTTTCATCATCATCGTCATCATTATGGATGGTTAAAGAGGATGAGCTATGACTCACCACGCTGGCCCAATGCGGATTGGTGGGTATTAACAATGCAGGCGGGACTAGCGACTTGTCGTCTCTTCCGAAGCAAGGAGTGGCTCGATATAATAATTTTATGGTCACCCATCCCGTGATTGACCATTGCGAATGTACACTAAACTAAACAACAACGATCGCGTGCTGCGACGCTTATCCACTACGCCACCGAGTTATTTCCATAAGGCTAGTTTGCTTTACCGCATATGCTATTTGGTAGGTACTCGATAAAGTACGTAGTACACTACGTATTCCGAAATATGCACTACAGTGCATAGTTCGGTATAGATCGGTGCCATCAGCCGTCACCATGAAGTTCTCTGCCCCCTCGAACTCAGCAGACGCAAGTTGACTCACGCGCCCGAACGCTTCCGCCTGATAGCAAGGTCACCGGCCGCATCGCAAACACTCACACAGCGAAATGTGAAAGTAGTGAGAGTACACTCGCGCTCAACTACATTCGTTATTATTAATATAATGAACAAACCTTCATCAACGACTTGTGTCGGTTGGCGGTTCACAAACTTTAAAGCCATAATTCATTGGGCCATGGTTCGATATAAAATACAGAACAACGAATCTACGATTTTTTATAGCAATAAAGACTAGCTTCGCTCTGCAATGGCCGTCAAAACAAGTCTATTCTGATTGAAATAAATTCGAGGTCGTCCCCGCCAACTGCAAAACTGACATTGTTATTCTTTTTCTGTTACAAAGGTACGCAAAAATTTTATTACATTAACAAATACACTACAATATGAGTATACGGTATGGAAATTTATGAGTGATTGAGAAAGTATCACGAGATCAGACATTCAAAAAGTTATTTCTCACAAAAATTACTCGTAAGCCTTAAATAAGCACCTTAGAGATTCGATCTATGCTATGCCTTACAATTTAAATTAATGGTACTGCAGTATTTCGGCGAATAATTAATCTATCCGGTTTAAAGCAAACAATGAGCTTGCAAAGACCCTATTTCGTCATTTATTTTGTAATGAAATAATACTGTCAATGTTGGAGGACAATAAACAATGATTAATAAATAGAAAGCAAATTGGTTCAATAAATGTTTTTATTTTTTAAGACAAATTTGTAATCTCTAGGTTTGGTTATCAATATCTCTGGTTTGGGGGAGGGGGTGTTTAACCCGGAGATAACTGCCAATATTCGTTAGTAAACATTCTGGGATCGGCATGCCCTCGCTCCCGAAACTTTCTAAGCCCACGGTCAAAAGAGTATACAAGTTTCTAACAGTAACATTATTTACTAGCTGTTTTCGCACGCATAAATTACAAATTTATAACCTACTAGCTTTCCACCAGCGGCTTCGCTCGTGGGGTTTACAAGTTGGCAGTAGATACATTGAGCACTAGGGAGTCGTTAAGTGGGATAAAAAGTAGTCTATATTAAAGCTTATAATTATCCATATAATACCTCCTCACGAACTTTCTCAGTAATTACCTATTAATTTGTCATATAGTGCTTTCACAAACTACTCTGTATGATTATTTTTGTTTCAAATACAAAATAGGTAGGTACATAGGAAGGTTAGAACGTTATTTTTTACTGGTCAAGGATAGGTGAATGATTATTTTCCCTAACTCCAATGAAAAATAAACTACCTGAATTGTATGTACCTAATTCAGTGACCAAATTTGTCAATAAATTCTGTTATTATACCGTTTACGTAAATATTGATAAAAGAGAATCTAGGAAATAGATATATAGATAAATACTTTATTTCACACATAACAGTAATGATTTACAGAGCATTTTATGGTTAAAGTGGGTAAAGGCGGCACTATCACTAAAAGCGCTAATTTCCAGACAACCTGAATACAGTATTGATTATGAAACATATAGATAGGTATATTCTTTATTTAGTAATATTAATAAATTCAATTCTCGCAATTTTATAAATGCAAAAATTTCGAACTAATTAATGTAGGTGTCTTTTTTATTTTGATGAAAGTATCATAACTCTTTTGTTATGTACTCATTGAAAAAGTAAAAACTTATTGATGTGAATGTAGCCATACGAAACCTCATCTATCACCAAAAAAAACGTAGTAGCCGATATATTCTCATTTTTATTAAAAAAGACATTTCCATGACAGTTGAGTGTAATAAAACATTATTGTATTCATTTATTGTTCATGCACTTGTGCACGCGATTGTTAACCCAAACAAATGAGGGTGCGAAGGGCAAGAGGAGAGGGGTTGAGCACCCTTCGCGTCACGTGACGAGCGACCTTCAGGCGGCGCACCGACCTTGAGGCGCCGCTCGCCCCGCGCGGGTCAGAGGTGAATGCACGCTGATCCGCCTCCCGCGCTCCCCGCCCGCCGGCGCTGCCTTGCGCGGCCCCCAAAAGCTACCTAATGCCACTCACCTCGGTTCTCTTTACACCATGGCACCACCAACTCAGGCGCCACAGGCAACTTCCCAGACATCATCCCCGATTCAAAAATCTACCCGTCGGTCGTGTACAGGTAGAAACGCGACGCGGCACACCTTTCTCATAAAATACCACCGACAAGTTTATTGACATCAAGACTCACGAACGATTGCGCAAATGAATTAATATTTTGCAAACCAAACACATACACCGTTCTGTCCTATAAGAACCACTTTTAGTACAAATTACAGCGTTTATTCACTCAAAAATATATCTAACAAGAAAAACATTGAACACAATCCAACCAAATGCAAGAAATCATTACACTACGTCCACTCACCTCCGCAAAACAAAGCGGAATAATATAATCGAGTCGAACAAGATCGTTTGGTTGGTCGTGTTGAACGTGACATCATTATAGCGCGGTGATACGGTTTCAAAACAAGACGAAATTATATAAGAGAGCCATCTAGCAGAAAAACATAATTTTCCGACTGCAGTGCTTTACACCTAACTTTAACAAGTAACAAAAAAATATGACCGCAAGATGGTGCTTACTATGCGATACACATAGGTTTTCAAGAAATTTTATACAATGGACTAATATGTTTAATCAATAATTAATGAATTTATTATTTCCTTTGAGATAAATTTCAAGCAATGGTACATCAGATTTAATTTTTTTTTCTTTCTTAGTACCTATTACCTTGATAGCATATGAGCTATTAAGAACAGAAATATTTGACAGATGGCGTTAGTAGCAACCTATGCGTATTTAACAAACCGACAGATCGGGAAACCCAACTGTCATTGTCAATTGACGTTTGTAAATTCGTTGGAACAGCTGTGTGCATAAATAACAATATTTTTTTATTATTTCTCCAAATTTAAATCACTGTGTTAAACATATTAATTAATTTTAGTTAGTTAATCAACGCAGTTATTTGTGGTGGAATCTTGTGTGGCTCATAATGACTCACTAATTAAACAGTCTTATTTTGCATTAACTTTCAAGGCTGTAATAATAAAAGGAGCATTTGGTAGACTATAATGGTGATTACTTAACATAATGGTCGAGGATAATGAGCGCGCATACGGCAGAGCACCAAATAGAAATACTCTATTGAAAATTGTTATATTAGGTGATGGAGGAGTTGGGAAGTCATGTTTGATGAGTAGGTTTATATCAAACCATTTCGATGATCACAGCTTTCACACTATAGGAGTGGAGTTTATGAATAAGACCATACCAGTTAATGGAAAAGAATATACATTACAGGTATGTAAACACTAACAATTTCTTTCTTTCTTTTGAAGTACATTTGTTGTGTATGTGAAACATTTATGTCTGTCAAAAATCTGTGCATTTGAACCAAAAATGAAATGTGTTTAGACCTGATTGAATGTGGAATAAGATTCTATATAACTTAAGAAGGATGAATTATATATGAGGGTGATAAACCAAATATCACTCTAAATATCAACTTTGAATTGGTTTTCTACATAAATAACATTCAATAAACTAAATATTTTTAAGGGTTGCTTCATATATAGTCAAAATACATAATATTTTTATTCTTACATCAATTCATCTAATTTTTACTAGTTTATTGCATCACAAATAAATAAAAATGCACATTATAAAATGTTTCAAACATTTTATATTATTGGATTAATTGATTAATTTACACAATTTTACATGATGGTGTTAGTTCTGGTGCGAGTTCTTAATGTTGTTTATCTACTTCTAATCATTAAATATGAGAAAGTTGTATTGTAGTCATAATGAAGGTTTTTTATTTTATGTCAGAAGCCACTAAAACTTGAGTATGTATGGAAAGAGTAATGAAAGTGGAATCTCTGACCATGCCTTGTGGCGTATTGGTCTTTCCTGCCTTTTTCACAAAGGATACAGTGTGAAGATGTCAATATATGAGTATAGTGCCTATATTACAAAAAACTTCCATTACCATTCTGCCTTATCAGTAATAAACGTCCATTGTTTGACGATAATCTAAGAGAATTACAAGTATGATAAAAATTAATAAGCAGAGATGTTAACTCTGAAATACTTGTTGTCAAGTTTCATGCACATCATTGAGGTATTATGTTTATAGTTTATAAATACATTACATCAGTTTACTAATATTCAAAAGAGGAAAAATCTGCTATCAGTCTTTAACTTAACTCCCAACAGATTAAGGCATAAAATCGATTGGAGTAATTTTGTCTTGTAAAGCTACCATACTCTGTATTATGTCAATCTAAAATTTTAATCAGTTTTATGAATTGATAATCTCACTAGAATTGTTACAATCTAACCTAAATCGTCCATCGGTTATAATCTAAGTACATTTAGTGTCATTTATATTATAAACCAATTATCAGTTCGACTTTACCACAGTCTAATATAGTTATTTCGGTAGATTGACGGGTAAGTCTCGACAGAGCAATCATGAGGGGTGAAAGGAGCGCGGCAGTAAGTCTGTGGCCACAATTTTATCAAGTGTCTAGTTATTTTATTATTGGTGACGCGGCGTATAAATAGCTGAGACCATACGCGGGATCATAATCGGAAAGTATGTGGTTGTTTATGAATTTAAAAAGAAGATTACTCTCTTATATATAATCCAGAGTATTTAGCAGACTTATGTATGTACACCACCAGAACTCGAACCAGCGACTACCGCACTGTCTACAGTTAGTATGGTCTGTCTGTTATAATCTAATCTGTTAATTGTTGCTTATATTTGCGCAAATTTTATTTGAAATATATATATAAATTTATGCTCAATTTATGCATTGTAGGGAAAAAAAAACGAAAAAAGAATAGATGTTTCATGATAATACCGTCATAGCGTAAAATCAGCATTGTAGTGAGGTTGCGCACGTATATAACCTGTTATTAGGTTCCTAGCGTCTTCAGCAGCGACACAGAATAACAGACCCCCGAAAGCGGACCAGGATATTCGTTGAGTAGTGTACTCATAGGGAAATCAATGGAAAAAATAAATTAGTAAGTTCAGTTACAGTTAAATCGGTTTCCCCAATTGTTATTAGTATAATGGTCCATATTACAAAGTATTATGTATACCTATGAAACTTTTCTTTTGAAATTATAATCTTGAAATCTAATAGTAAATGTGATAGGTATGTGATTAACTGATAACCTGCGGCTATGACGTATGTCCACACATAAGCGGCGTTCAACGCAACTCTGTAAGTTTTTTAGGCTGTGGTTATGGCGTATGTCGCCTTATATAATAAATTGTATGCAAAAAAAAAGTACCTACTATATTTGCACTTTTGTTCCCGTATTTTGATACTATATTAGGGTTTCTTTTAAAAAACTCCGAATTGTAAAGTTAAGATGTGATGTAGTATAACAGAAATGAAATGCTGTTTTGGCATTGAGAAAAATTTTATTCACTTGTTCACTTACACTGTATTTGACGATCGTAAATGTGTTATTACGACATCCACAGAGGTGATATGTGACGAAACGGAGTTTGCGAAATTCTCACTGTTAAATAAAACAATGTGCCATATCAATTTCGTTTAACACTGCCTTATCTATAAAATTAAGCGGTAGTTATATTTAGCCCTCGCCTCATTTTTAAATTAAGGCTGGTATAAAGCGGACTCTCCGCGCTGACAACTACGCGCGTAACTATCAGCGCAAGCTGTAGCGCATACTTGTTGCAGTGTCGTGCTGTTCGCTGTTAAGTACAGGCATGGCCAATCCTGGGAGTGTTCAAATTGCTGCAGTGTATTATTTATGCAAAAGCAAAAAAGCGAGAACGAAAAAGGTGAACACAGCATGTTCACCACGATTGCTAGTGAGTGCATTTGTGACATTGTTCAACCAGTTGACACTGTTTGAAAGAGAGTTAAAAGGGATGATGATACCAAGTCCTTTAACTGATTACGCATGTCACCAAGAAATTTTGACGCGTTAATTAATGGCAGTTACCAATGCAGTAATACTTGTTTTTGGCATCTTTAGTTTTGTAAAGTGGATTGGATGAATTCACCCACTTCTCCTGTGTTCATCGCCATTCCACATGAGTGTACATGCTGATGGAGTCTGTTCGGCTCGACATTGGAACGCTCGCGCAAGGCGGAAGCGCGCGTGCGATAATCAGCGCTGAACCGTGGACGGCCAGCGCTGACGGTTTTCAGCGCTGTGCGGTCGGCGTAACTATAGAACACTTCTACAGAGCCCATACATATTGACCATTCTTAGGCTTTGTAAAATGTAACGACAAAATACTGTCCCTATCTATTTCATCGCGCCCGGCAATGAGATTAACAGAGAGGATAGCGTATTGCGCATTAAAAGAAATGTTGCATATAGCCTACAAAATTAATTCACATATTTATCAAACTTCCCTATATAAAGAAGTAGATATAATATCTACAAGAAGAAATTCAAAATATGGAGAATTTTAGTGCTATATTTTTTTCTATGCTGTAAGTTTAATTAATTCATGCCTTATAAACCTCTTACAAAACCGTTAGAAATGTGATTTTTACTAATTTTTAATTATAACATATTCGGACGTTACGTTTGTGGAGAAAACCAATTTGAAGAAAGTCATATTTTGATATGTGCGCCATCTTAATGGCTTTCATACCAAAATATGAAACCAAACCGCATTTTAGGTATTCAGTTGTTTGTATATTTTTTTTCTGCATTTAACTTATATTTTGTGCTAATATGATGATTGACACCTACAAACAATGAAATGAATTTAAGGAAGGTACACAAACACACCCATGCAAACAATGCTCGAAGTAACAATAACGTATGTAGGAACGTAATCTACCTATTATTTTGAAATAATGTAAAATCATATTATGTTAGACGAAGTTTTGTTTTGGTTGCATCACCACATTTTTTATTAGCAATTTTAAAACATTTTTGTGAAAGTCATTCTTTTTTTTACTACCGTGTAATATGACGATATATATTTTTTTTATGTCCCGAAATTCCGAGTTTTTGCATTTATCGGCCAAATATTTTCGTCTCGCCATCTGGATAACGACCTCCTAACATTATGATTTTGATGTCTAGCCTGACCGGCGTTTGTCACAATGTCACAGGTAATCGATATTTTATCATAAATTTTGATTTTATTTCGTTTACCATTGGAGAGACCTAGTTTTACTATAAAAAAAATTACCATTATGCAAAAAAAATTGACATTCTTTTCGGTCTTAACACCCAAACCAAGTATTCCAGATGTTATTCGAACCTATACATTATGCAATCATTGAAATTATTTATTTATGAAGGCATGTGCATTGCGCACGGCAAGGCCGATGGAAGTATGAGTAGTGTTAAAATTTGATTTGAAGTAGCAACCTACTCTTTCATAGTGAAACGTGTAATCTCAACAAAATGTTGAATCTATAGTCGCTGAGTAGTTGATAATATTGTGTTTGGTCGCATAGCCATGTCGTATTCATAAAACATTTTTCATAGTCACGTGATTTTCAGGCAAATGGATCGTTATAGGGTTACTCTGACAAATTTTATCAATTGATTTATTTGCTAACGTGGAAAAAAAATGCTATGGATAAACGGTATGAAAGCGGGACTTTCCCAGCCAAAGCTGAATGTACGCTAAAGTATAAGCACCAAGATATTAATAAACTAAATATCACCTAAAAAAATTAAAGTCTGTCTCTGAACATTTAATTTCAAAAGAATAGTTTTAAAGCAGTTTGTATAATAATATATTGTTTAAATTTGTGAATCATTGTTTTCAAATTTGTTTTAATTTATAAGCAGTCGGAACAATTTTTTTTCTTAGTGTATAATAAAATGGGAAGTGTTCAAGTAACGAAACCTTTCAAATGTTTCATACATTTTGCTGTCATATTTTGTAAACGCATAATACCTACTTTGAAAAATTTATCCGCCCTGGGATCACAAAAATAATATTCAAACTATTCTGACTAGGAACTAATCTATATTAATTTTAATTAGCTATTAGTTTTATTCTACATGTCGCGTTTATTTAAATTGTACCTATTATAAACGAATAGGTAGCTAGCTACATATTAGAATTATAAGTTAACACGAAATAAAAGTAGGTGAGCCTACCCATAATAAATATACCTATAAAGCACCCCGGGTCAAACCCAAGGGCGCTGAAAGGTCAATGATTACATAAAAAAAATGTCGTTTTCGATAACGAATTATTAAAAAGTTTGATACGATTTTTTCCTTATTACATTGGTCTAAATGAACTAAAACTAGAAATTTTTATAAGTTTCTTAATCTAAAAATTTGACTGAGATATGATATTTACCGTACAAATTAAATTGTCTATTGCGAGTGTTCAATTACGCCAAAAAGAAAATCCAAGTAAAAATAATTAAAAAAAAATGGTAAATAGGTGAGCCAATAATTTTGCGTGTGTGTAACATTTGTGGTAACTAGAGACTTATTTTTCTATAATTATCAAAGAGAACAGTTCGTCGAACTACAAGATTTGCTATGATGAAGTTTTGCGCAAGCTGAAAAACATCTCAGACGTTAGATGCAAATAAACAACGCAATTAGAAAGTAATACCTAAACTAAAGATCTATTTTAGAAATTTACCTAAGCAATAGCCTTGTTCTAACTACTAATAATAGTGAGACTATGTAAGTAGCTAATAGAAAATCCACTATTTGAAAGTATATATTCGATTTTTAAGTACTTTTAGTACCACCAGTGGCACGATTGCGGAAGCAAGCAATAGTTGCGTGACAGCTATTAAGCATTCACGATATAGTTATTTCATTTGTTTAATGTTCTTATGCTTATACTTAATCATCTCCAAAAGGCTACTGTTTAGCCGCGACAAAAATCTTTGATAACTTTGATAATATGAACCTTGCTCACAACAAATTACTTTAGTTGTTGCGTCTTTGTTAAACGGTGTAATTACACTTGGTTGTTTGAGAGTTAAGTGACTTGCTTGGGATCCCGGTACCCTATAGTACAGCATTCTCTGAAATACGTGTAGCAGTTTAAATAAAGTCAACACAAAGATTTAAATCAAAAACCATTGTCGCATATCAGAATGCGTAAACCAGGAACGAATTTAAACGAGATTTCTGGAAGATGAGTGTCTCGAATCAGTTCATTTACACTTAGTAATTTTTAATAGGCATTTGATCTTGCAGGATGACTTAATGTATCCACCATTAGTGTACTTAACTCCAACCTCAAGAACGTTTTAGTTGTAATTAGATAAATTTTGCAATTTATATTTATCTTGTAAATCTTTACGAATTTTCCAGTATCTTTTGGTTTCAACAACACCAAGTCTCTAGATTTGCCTGTATGAATTTAGTTTGTTTTCTTCGTCTTAGGTATGGGACACAGCAGGACAGGAGCGGTTCAAGTCACTCAGGACGCCGTTCTATCGCGGCTCAGATATTTGCATACTCGCATATGCTATCGATGACCGCAGCTCATTCAACAACATTAAGATGTGGCTCAACGAGTTTCTTCACTACGCCGGAGTTAAGAATGGAATTGAGAAGTTCCCCTTCATGGTTGTTGGGAATAAGGTGAGTAAATTTTATAGTTTAACTTAAAATGATAATAAACAAAGCAGAAATACTCCAGTAATTTCTAACTGGCAATACCTAACAATACCAATCCAAAGGTTTACTGGCAAAGGATGTCTGAGGCCTTAAATCCGTTGTACATTTATGTATTAAGACAAATACGGTTGAAAACGATTTTGTACAACACGAACATGTAAAGCTAAATTTTGCTAATCATTTAATGTTTCACAAATACATTAATTTGACATTCGACTTTAATTTTTATTAAAGAGTTTTGTTTGTAATTTTGCCTCACCTACTTAAATACTTAACATGCATCTTGAAGTGACGATTGTGGTTTCGCGGTGACTGAATAACAGGATATAATTATATATTTATATCCATTGCGGTTCCGTAAGAGCATGGATGGCCAACCAGTCGATCGACTATTAGTCCAGTCGATCGTGGCAATTCAAAAAATATAAATACATAGTGTACGAACTATGCTGTTTCATTTATGATTTTAAGAAGTAAAGTAATTGGTAGATCGTACTGGGTGTCGTCAGTGAAAAGTTGATCTTGGGTCTAAACAAGTTGGCCACCCCTGCGATAGAGTAACTTCACTGTCAAAAAGCCTTTTAGGAAGCCATTCGTTTCAGCTATAGAAGAAAAAATATTAATTTAAGTCCTATATTATATATTAAAACTGCAGTTTTGTTTTTTTCAAGTTTTTGACCAACCGTTTGATATGCAACGGAGATTGAATTTTCAACACAGATTTTAATAATTACTATAGATTTGTAACGGTGTATGTTCTAAAATGTAAATCAATTTCTTAAAAAGATATGATGATTTATTTTTTATTGATGGAGGCACATCAACGAATGCTGCTAAGTTTCAGACTTATTTATCTACATAGGGAACAAGCCTATCATGGTCAATACTTCAAAAATGTTATTCTTTTAAACTTCAATTTCTCTTCTAATCGTAATCGTGCTTTTAATTGTTGGTCTAATTAGTGTTGGCCCTCGAGTTTTATTAGATTAATCATCACGCTAACTTCTCATAGACAATAGAATATTTTAGTATGGCGCCCTTTTCCTGTCTATCATATTATACATTGTTCAGTTATGAAAAGTCTCTTAAAACGTTATATTTCGGAGATGTAGTAGTATATTGTAGCATTGGATTGCATAATTTCAGAAACTCCATTTAGATACGTTCACGTAGGTATTAATTAAGTAACAATTCGTTACATTAAAAAGTCACTACTAATAGCGATAAATCTTTATTACAATATTAGCTATTTCGTAAAAATAAAATAAGGGGCCGTTCATAAATTACGTCACACAAATTTCATGATTTTTAACCCCCCCCCCCCCCCCTCCTGTCACCTGTCTGTCTATACAAATTCCACTAAATATTGTTCTAATGTCACAGTTCGTCAATATGAATAATTAAATAAGACAACATAGCATACATTATTTATTATGAATAATAATGTATGCTATGTTGTCTTATTACTTGCCACCCCCCCCCTCCTAACGTGTGATGTCATTTATGGATGGCCCCTAATGCCGTTTATGCGATAGCCAAAAAATTTGGAAACTTATGAGTCCAAAGAAATTGGCGCATTTGTGAGACAGCCAATATTATATAATATTGAAGCCCCTTGTCTATGAGCGAGCACTTATCCCTCTGAATCAAATTTACAGATAAGCAACTGAATAATCATTACGTCGAAATGGGGTTATTTTCAAATAAAAAATGAGTTTCGATAGCTCGGTAATGTCCCCGAATAGGGATCGGTATGATTGATGATACACTATGAATCATTTAAGTTTGGACATTTTAGGCCAGTATTTACCAAGTCTGGCCAACGGGAATTACACTCTGTGCTATTACGTCACCAATTAAATAGTCGACAATTGTGGCACATATTATGGTTCGTAAATAGAAACTGAGAAAGAAACTGTCTACGTTATTGTTAATATTAAAATTATAGATAAATACAACTACTATCTGAATGCATTAAAATTTTATACATATTTTGTAATGCACAAAAATCAAAATTAGTGTAAAAATTGGTAAAGATTGATTATTTTGTTTTTTTAATTATTTGTGGCGGTTTAAAGGTGTCGTTGTTTCTGAGGTCACGGATTCGATTCCTATTCGGATTATAAACTTTTGTAAATCGTCTCGGGTGTGGATGTTGTGGTACCTTATATCTACTTACTTTTGGGGTCTAAATAATGTATGCTATGTTGTCTTATTTAATTATTTATAATAACAAAAAGGAAAGATTATTTTTCAATTCATAAAGCAGTTTGGTCCCTTGGGTATGTTACTGCCCTTGTTCACACGAAATTATTGAAATGTGTTTTATTATTTTTATTTATATTCTTGTAAATGCTGTTTATTTCAATAGAATGCATTAGTGCGATTAATAAATCAGTTCGCGCCGCTATTCCCTACCTTGACACAAAGCTGAAATCGATGACACAGTGAAGCACGTAATTCTGAATTGTAGAAGGAATCAAATAGTCCTTGAGTATATTTTAAAACAGACAAAGGTCATATAGAAGAGTGCGAGATCATTGTCTTAAATTATATATTGTAAGATTATTCTATTCAATATGATAAAGTAATTCTTATGAATCACTTTTGTAGAAGAAATTACTAGAACTCCTAAGTCTGACTAATTGTAAGACAAATTGAATTCTTATTTATCAGTAAGTCTTGCATAATATTCAAGGATTTTTTAAAACTAACCATAGATAGTCGAATAACAGATTGATATGTCTGACGATTTACAAATACACTATTCTTACCCTCGGCCATGGATTTACAATAATTCGTAGCTATATGAGCAATCCAACACACCCAATAAATAGCTCATTATGATTTTTTATTGAAATTCTGCAATATTTAAAAAACTCTTTTTAAAATTATGACTTGCGGACGAAGTTATAATTTTGGTTGATAAAATATTTTCCTGCTAACTAATAGTGCTTAAAACCGACTCAAAAATCTAAAAAAAAAGATTCTATGCTCGATTAGTATATTTTTTTTATGTATAAATCTTCGCGAATTGTTGTCATATTTTGCTCGCTGTCTCGCCACACTCATCCCCACTCCAGCGCATTTTCATATTCATATACGATACATATATTACTAATTTAAACTTCTTTACTTTTTATTACTGTTTTAAGTATTCTGCCGAACAACAAAAATATTTGGGTGACATATTTTATTATCTAAGTAAACAAAATATCGGGATATTTTGCTTTCTTTCTAACGATCCCAGACGTAGCCGGGGCCAGCGGCTTGATGTACTTCCGAAGCACGGAAAAGATCTACTTAGATAATATCAATTTTTGGTTACTTATACGAGAGGACCGGCCTTTCAGAAAGATGCTTGTCGTACACAAATTGGTGACAGAATTATCGAGCTGCCTTTCCCCCTCAATTTAGGACATCACCGCATTTACATAACCTTCGAATTCTAGATTCTATGGCCTGATTTTACACGGAAACTCTTTTCAACGAACCTGTTCTTCGTTGACCTTCATGACGTCAACCATTCGATTATCAAATAATTCCTTTTCCGTGACTGCAAAATGCTAAGTTTGCACGAAAAATTAACGAAATAAAAATCGGTATAGGCAGTATGGATTTGCTAATTAAATGTTATACTAAAAAACACCTCATGGCATTTATTGTTAGATTTTAGCCAGTTATACAGTAGTGACTCAAATGTATATTGTCTCATCTGGCTCATTATTACAAAAAAATCCTTAAAATTGCCTTAAAGAGAAAAAAAAGTATATAAAAACATACAAGCTCCAATTATTTGTGGAATGCCAAAGGCTACTATGACTTCAGCTAGTTTTTATACGGACTATGAGTAAGCGTGATGATTGATAAATTTATCATAGTTGATTTTGAATTTTGCATACGGCAGCTCAGGATACTACAATATTTGAAACCTCAATTGGTTTTGAACTTTGTATAGAAAGTATTAAGTTATAAAATCAAGTTGAGAAATTTGGCAATTTTGTATAGTCTGATGTGCTGCTGATTGTACACGAAATGGCAGAGTTCTTTTAAGATTAGAAGTTTTAAGAATAGTGCTGAGTATTAAGTAAGAATCATCGTCATCACATGAAATGTCCCCACTGGTGAGCTAAAGGTTTCCCTTAAGCCTAATTTACATTACGATATGGGTGTTATTTAACGGGTTAGCATAGTATTCACATTTTTGCTAGCAGAAAAATGTATTCTGTCAGTTGAAATATATGATTGGTCAGCAGACCATGGCTAGCAAACAATATCAAATCAATCGACATTTTTTTACATTCTGGACGGCTGTAATTATTTTTTATTTGCATAATAATCATATAAGCTGCAATGAGTGACGCATGTTAAATACAATTTTGAACAGCACTTAGAGGGAAGCAACTAATCTAATTTTGTGAAGCATATAAAAATAGCAATAATGACTGGCGCAAAATGGGCGCATTCCTTACAAAAATAATGAATGGATATTTAGAGTAAACTAACTAATTAAATTAACTGCCTCCGTGTCCTAGTGGTTAGAGCGTTAGGCTCTCGATCCGAAGGTACTGGGTTCGATTCCCGGTGGGGACACTCTCAAATATTTCTTTGTGAGTTTTTCCCAGTTTGGTTAGGACATTGCAGGCCTGAATCACCTGATTATCCGAAAGTAAGATGATTTCGTGCTTCGGAGGGCACGTTAAGCCGTCGGTCCCGGCTGCTACCTACAGTACTCATATAACACTCGCAAAATTTCAAAATTCACACTAATTAACATAAAACAAATTGTTATCACTGTAATTTGACAGCTACTAATCGCCGCATAGACACCGAATGACAATACACGCACGCGATTGGCTACTAGTATCATGCGACTACTCCTGCTTTGCCCACTTTTAACGTACATTGCAGACTTTTCAATAAAAATGCAAACCAATTAGTTATTCTTCTAACCATGCTTTAAATACGCAAACCGATCAAATGAACTGCTAACCGGACAAATATTTCTTGCTGACCAATCCTGAATCTTTCTGATCAAGTAGTTATTTTGGGGATAGACTGTTTATTTGACATACACATATTATTTTAAGGTGACTGTATATGATTAAATTACTGATCATTATCAAGATTATTTGCGAAACAAGGATTGCCGATTGTTTTATTTTTCTTGCATACAAAATCTTTAAATGCTGATCAAACGATTAAAATACTGATTTTTGTCGCTAACCAAATTTTTTTAGGGCTGACCTTTTAATTACTTCTCTTACGATATTAGTGTAATGCAGGACGAAACAAATAACAGTGAACTAATTTCAGCTTTTGTGTAACTAATTCCGTAACTACTGGCACACTGGCTCCTCCAACACAGAGTTATTAATCGCAGATGGTGTCGCGATGGTGTCGCTTCGCCATATAAGATGAAATTAGTTGCATAAAAATAGTTCCGTCTATACAAATAAATAAAACCTAAATACATGTGTATACACATTACAAACACAATCATTTTTTTGTCTATCTGTCTGTTTGTTCTGGATAATGTCTGAAACAACCAAACTATTTAATAGGACTTTTACTGTCAGATAGCTTATGCAATAAGGGTTAACTTAGGCTACTTTCCATGTGGACAAAGACTGGGCACACCTGGTCAAAAATATGAGCATTACACCAAACTACTTTTGTATAATTAAATTAATGTATGATGTTTAATGATTCTTTGTATTATAATTGAATAAATTTATTGACATTTATTCAACAGTCTGACGTCTCGTCTAAAGACAGAGAGGTGAGTCACGAGCAGTTGAAGCAGTGGTGTGACGACAACAAGATTGCGACCTACATAGAGACCTCGGCCAAGAACGACAACAACGTGGTCGAAGCATTCTCTATGGCCGTACAAAGGTGATGTTACATGTTTTAAAGTTAAGATATTCCTATATTGATATATTATCACCACTAGAGATGATTGTCTTATGACGACAGGTATGGCTCCAGTTTTCTGTACTTAGACGCCTTCGTCGGTTCATTGTACGTGAAAAGTTGACTGTTTTACTCCAGCCAACCTTATTTCGCCCAGAAGCATAGATATAGGAGCGGCATGGCGTGCCAAACAGATTATTTTTGCTCTAATTTATCAGAATATTAAAATTCTAATAACAGTTCCTATGTAGTGCAATGCCCCTACGAGGCTCATGTTTAAGTTAAACAGATTACTTTTTTTTAAATTATTTATTACATATTGGCCATGTTATGACATATATGTCACATTTGGCATGGCAGAATTTTACAATACCATCAATTTATTGTTACGGCTTACATAATATAATTATATTTTATATTAATCAAAATAATAAATCATTCTCAAAATAATAATCACAACAGGAAATAATATCGGTAACAAAATGAAGTTGAAAATGATCATATAAATTAATAATAAGATCAGTTAACTACATTTTCATTACAACTTTTACCACATGATGCAATTATTTATCTGAACATGAGTCTTATGTACACCTTAAAAAAATATAGCTGGGGCCTACGTCCTAACGTACCTTCTAATTATCGGTTATCCATTGCACGGCCGGTGCTTGAGTTGCTTAATCATAGAACGAAACTACTTACCACTACACAATCGAGCTCTTCTTCATGATTATTTAATAATTCTCATTCCTCCCTTTGCAGATGGGTAGAGCTGGAACAGAAAGCGGAAAAAGAGCTGGGTATGCTGCACCACCCCGATTCTGTCACCCTCCACGGTTCTAGTCCTGTGTCCAGTCTGCGAACGACATGCTGCTCTAGGTTTACAGACACATGAGCTATTTTTGAATACGGCCTATACTTAGTAATATGATAAAATACGATTGATAAAAGTATCTGCCGTAGAGTCTATGAGATTTATTTTTAATACGAATGAATCTTAATTTTAACGTCATAGTGACGTTTTTTAATTGGCTAATAGATGGCGTTGTATTTATTTTTCTGCTATTGCAGACGCATGACGGATTTTCTGTCAAAATTGAATACACGAGACTCATTTGGAATTTTAAATAATAATAAATAAAGTTAACGCCCAAAACTATAATTGATAGCTTTTAATTTTCTTTTTAATTTATAGAAAAGTAAAAAAAACAAATTCATAAAATAAAATCGTGAAAGTTCGCGGGTTCGAATCCCATGTCAGAGTGCCAGGGATAAAATGGACTTTTAAGCATTTTATATTAATAATATATTTAATTCCTTTAAAGCAAAAAACTAAACGTATGGAAATTTCATTAGTATATAAAAATCAGCTCCATCTTTTGACAGTTTAAGTAAATATAATAAAATTAGAACAGTGACGCCATCTCTCGATAGTAAAATATTCAATAATATGGTCTGGAATCGGTTGTGGAACTGTTAACAATCTGGTTAACTAAAGAGATGTAAATAAAGTAATTTCCACTACAGCGAATATACAATAGTAATGTGTGAATGAATTAGCTTATTAGTTAAAGTTATTAAGTAAAAAGAGTATTTGAGAGGTATATAATTTAGTATATTTCGGTAGTATTGTTCTTTTATTTTTAAAGCTGTTTCAGTTTCATCATTAATTTAGCTTGTAAACTTTTAACATAATTAGGTCATCAAATATTTGACATTTGGAAATAATTTGAAGTTATCATTATACGACGTTTGTACACACAGTTGCACGTCAGGCAAATATCCGCAATAAATTTTGACCTCTACCTTCTATGCATGAAGGTTAAACATCAAGTGGCGAAATTTGAGTTTTGTATAACCTTACGTGTTGTTGACTGTACATTACAATGCACAGTATTTGTATTTATAGATGAAATATTAACAAATCACGATGTCGCCGTCCAACATTCCGTTTGTAAGATATTTTCAAATATTAAAAATCTCACATATTTTTATTTAAGAATAGTGGAATAGCTGTATATAAAGATTGATGTCGTTATATTTTATATTTTTAATTATACATTTTACAAATTGAATTTTAAGATTATATGGTTCAAACGCTCTGGTCGAATCAGTAATAGTCCTTAGGCTTCCAATATCGGAACACCGGGATCTTGGGGCCGTCCATTATTTACGTGATCAACACTTTTGTGCCCTCCTCCCCCTTAGTGTTACATGGTGAGGTTTAAGACTCCTCCTCTCCCCCCCCCCCTTCCCCTCCACCCAAATCAAGTAAATTTTTAGTACCAATAAAAAATCTTATTTTTTTAACGTCGCTTTTCTATTTTAATTTGCGCGACGAGGAAAAAATAAATACACGTGATATATTTCTACACCCTCTCACCCCCCTTGTGATATTTCGTGATTTTTTTAGAACCTCCCCCTCTTCCGAGCGTCACGTGATTAGTATTAACGGTCTCTTTAGTATCTCGTGTTGTGGGATTTGCGGGACTGAAAAGTAACATGCACACCTCTCTTGAGGGTGATCGCTCGGTGACTGACGGCACATTGACAGACAAAATGATGATTTCTGTCAATAATTTAAGCCATAAATACTTTTGTCAACATTCAATTGAATTTTTTTGGTTTATATTTTAATTTAGTAATAATATATATTTTGTAGTCGAAATATTTTATGTTTTTTTCTTAGTTTATATCGGTTTTCAGTAATAAATAAATGATCTAACTTGATTAATCTCTTAGCAAAACTTGAATGTAGAATTATGTTGATTAATTAATTGTTTTATTTACCATAAATAAATATTAATACTTTCCATATGCGGGATTGAAGATTTCTAGTCCCGCTAATACTACTGAGATTGAATACATGATGCGGGATTGCTAGCCCTAGTTATCAATACTTACTTAAACACAATACGGATGCTTTGTGGCATATTCATTATTTTTTTTATGTGTACTCAAGTTGAAACGTATACTTACTTAAAAAATCGTATCGTAATCTTACTATGGCGTATGAACCCCGTTTAACATATCTATTCATGGTCATATTTTTAAAAATAACCTATCATATTCGGTTCCCTTATTGTGATGCTACTTTTAAATTTAGTTAGGTACTTAAAATTTATTTATATTTACCATATTTTAAATTTTTAATTAAACGTGACCAAAGACCAACATTCCTCTGAATATTATTTTTTTTTTAGTTCAAAGTAAAATTGAACGCCTATTTAATATTAATCCAACGGATTCATTAAAACTAAAATAAGTGATATTAAAACGCACTCACTTTTTTAAGAAACAATAAGAAATATTATTTTAATAAGTAGATATTAGTTGGTAAATTAAATAAATCTATATTATTTTAATATAATCCGTCAAATTTCCACATTTGTTAACATTAATTATGAAATTATGAAAGTAGCTCGGTGGCGTAGTGGATTAGCGCCGCGGCCCGTGACCGTAGTCGTTAAGCAACTTTTGCAAGGGTCGGTCACGGGATGGGTGACCAAAAAATTATTATCTCGAGCTACTCCGTGCTTCGGAAGGCACGTTAAGCCGTTGGTCTCGGCTGCATTTGCAGTCGTTAATACCCTCCAATCCGCATTGGGCCAGCGTGGAGGGTCATAGCCCATTCTCCTTAACCATCCATAAGGAAGGCCTGAGCCCCTGCAGTGGGGACGTAAAAGGGCTGATGATGATGATGAATTATGAAATTAACAGACATGTTTACCGATACAGATTTTGTTGCAAATAATTATGCAGGATATTTAGTAGTTTACCTTGCATATGTTAATTATATAGTGGAATTCAATTCTTTTTGTGTTATAAACGTAATAAATGTTTAGGGTAGATGCAAATCAGACGAGATCTGTCGGACTGCCCGCTTATCATTCACTCGACTCTCACACTCGTGCGTATACTCGTATATTTAATCCGTTAGATATATAACGGCCCTTATTATTATATGAAACGGCCTAATAAACCTATGTTACTAAACATTAATTGAATCACGGGTGATATGCACTGAACGAAAATAGTTTACTAGCGTTAGTGTAACTATACCGTTCGAGGCGCGTAGGTTTAACTTAATTTTGAGAAATTTCTCTCACAGCGTTTCTGAATGGGAGAAGGTATATGCCAATTACATTTAATATGGATTCTGCTTATGATAGGTGGCACAACCTTTTTAAACTTGTGATCGCACTATATTTTTCAGTTACCTCAGTTTCTTTATAGAAACATAGTATTTTTAGAATGCGAATGTTGATAATTTGATATCAGAATATTACGCGCATCGCCTTCCATGCCAGGGGCATCGCTGGGTTTTAGTGGGTGTACCCCTGCTCTTTGACAAGCTCCATTCTTAGGCGGGTCCGCAGGGGGAGCCCCACATAACCCCGGTGAGCCGCGCTGACTGCCCGGGGTATGCAGTAAAATGAAAATATCTTTATTCAATTAAGCTTGTTACAAGCACTTGAATCGTCCAAAAAATTTTTTTCCCCTACTTCTTGTTCAGGACGTCTTTTAGCTGATAAGAAGAACAAGCATATCATAAGTAATGTCATTTACAAAATCATGTCATTACCAAAATAATAAATACAACTTTCAAAGTCTGTAGGTCATAGTTTGTACATATAATTAGTCGTTATAGAACAAAGCGAAGGCTATTAATTCCATTCATTGCAGTAATGCATATACCAGCGTTAAAAAAGTGATTCCAAAGAATTATGAACTTCTATTCTATTGAATAATCGAATTTGGTTAGAGGCACAAGATCATTCAATTTTTTTTTCAGCTTTGTACACAATGCACACTTTTTTATAAATATATATTTTACCATATTGTAAACACTCGTTAGATTCTGTTAAAAAATATAAACTCGAATTCTCACTACACTAGGCGATAAATTATCAATGTCCACAATAATAAGGTAATACAATTATATAGTAAATTAAAATTTAAATGTTTTCAAAGAATTATAATAGACTTTTTTCACTCAAATGAATATTACCGTATTTTATGATGAATTTTGCGGTAATAGACCAAACGCTTTAGCGCAGTGTTTCTCAAAAATTGTTCTGCCATGGACCAGTAATTTTCACATTGGCCCTTCGTGACCCACTTAATATTTAACCCCGAATTGGTTTCATTAGGTAATAGTAACTGGACGAAAGACCTTTGCTTAGCAATTTTTTTGGTAAATGAAACTTAGCTAGATCGATTTATCGCCCCCAAAACCTCCTGCATACTATATTTCATGAAAATAAATTGAGCCGTTTCCGAGATTATAAATGTGTTTTTAAGAATTGCTCGATAAGGTATTAGATATTTTGTCACAAAAGTAATGCGTCAAAGTAATTTTTGACAAAGGAATCGAATTTCGCGGAATATAACTAAACTTTGATCCTAAGGTTCCACTTCAAGTTGGTTTCTATATTTATTTTTAAGCTAAACTAGTGTTGAAAACCCAGCTTCACATTTACGAGTTGTGATAAAATGGCTAACTTACCAACTTAATTTAAACATGGCGGAAATGTTGCGACCCGGTATTAATGTATGAGTGTTTTTGAACCTAACGGTCAGTTGCATTAACGTCCATTAAGGTTTAATGACGCCAAATTTGTATGGGTAATGTCTCTTTAAATTAATGTCAATTTTAATGGACGTTTATGCAACTTACCGTAAGTCATAAATGTTAAAAGAGTGATTAAATGCTTTTGATTATGATATGTGTAAAAATAATTTCCTAGTATTATACTACTTATATAAAATTGGTTGTAGCAATGAAATAATTTGATATTCTACTCTAATAGAGTATGTGCGTGCATATTCCTTTTTTTCTTTTTAGTTAATAAGAGTTTATGTAGTTATACATCCATTTCAAATGAGTTTGATTTGAAATAACTTTTTTACTAACTTATGTTTATAAATCCATTTCTGTATTTAGTTTTTTAAGAACATCACTTCCAATATTGAATTATAGCAGCAATTAGGATGGCACTGACTCACATGATTCAGTCCAAACTAGTATGGATGACAGGGCACAAAGAATATTGCACTGTTATTGGAAATAAAGTATTATTATTATAATTTGACCGGTAATGTTATTGCCATTTTCTACTAGATACAACAGTGTGTAGAAGTATTTCTCACTGTTTCTTCTTATCCAAAGGGTTTTCTGTGCAAAGTTAAAAAGCGCTAACCTAGGCACAATACTTGATCCTAAGCTATAACTAGTGTTATTTAAAGGCGAAGGAATCTAACCCCTTACAGTCTTATCTGAAATAAATGTCTTGATTTAACTAAAACTATGTTCGACATTCCAATAAGTAGTTTTAAGTCTATTCTACACCTGTTGCTTTTCACTTTAATAAGCATATTGTTGAAAGAACTATTTCCACTAAGTGCCTAGCTTTAGATATAGCCTTACTGATAAGTAACACTAACAAATTTTGAAGCACTTTTATATTTACTTTGTAATTAATAATTAATGAACTTAGCAACTATTAACGAGTTTTCTTATATGCATTGAAGATTTAAACAATTTGAAAAATATAATTTGTATGTTGTGACATAATTAAAAAAAAGACCAATGTGTTAAAAAGATAGAAAGACATTCAAAGAAATATCAGCGGCCTATTCGCCTAACTCTAGCAATAAAATATTCTTATATAGCTTTGGCCAGCTTAGTTATATTCGTGTCTATAGGAGAGAAGTAATTGACTTACCTGAAAAAATGGCTTAAGCAAATATTTTTAACCAATTAATGAGTAGGTACTTGAATGAAATGAGTACTGTCAATAGCTATTATTATTAATAGTATTCTTACTATCAATAGTGCTTAGTTTATTTAAATTATTGTTTGTCTGTTAAAAATATTTGTTTAAGTAATTACATTTACTCGACTATAGATATGGGTGATAGAGTTAAGCGGCTGCACTCTACGTTGTCCAAAAATGTAACTTTTTAAACTTTAACCGTTATAAGTGTAAATTGGTTATTGTGTAGAAGTCTGATTACTGTTGTGTGTACATGGCATGTAAATTTATAAGTGACGCAACTCAGAGTCAAATGTTCAGGCACAATTACTGTTTAAATAGATATAACTAAATAAAGAATTTTGCATGAGTAATTACTACCTTACTCAGAGGACATCATATAACTATGCGAAAATTACAGTATATAACAGTATGTAACATATTGCGAAAATAAAGCACTAAAGGAAATACAAATAAAGACCATTTTCGGTATGAAACAAATTTTAATTGACTTTTCACTATTTAATTGTTGTCTCTCAGTACGAAAGTAGTCGTTTTAGGTATGAA